TTAAGATTGGAATTGAGAGTATTTTGATTTGTAGGATTCTCTCTAGGTAGCTTAAAATAAGCATACTGTATATAATTTTAATTGACATTAATTCAGATATTTAAAAAAGGGATACACCTTTTTGGTCTATGTTTTTTGTATATATTTTAAATGAAAGCAAACTTGGGTGAGACTCAAAGTAGAGTCTCAAGGTTTGCAGCCTTTCCACCAAGCGAGCTGATGCTTGTGTGTTAAGGAGAGGTGCTGCCTTGCCATCAGGCATTCTGAGGTTTGGTAATTTCACAGCAGGCTTTGCTTACTGCTGACATGATTGTCCACAAGACAACAATAAGCTTGAGGTAAAATTTACTGATTGAAATTTCTTAACCTAATATTGCATATATTTCTGTAAAAGGAAGTTTTGTTAAGTACCATGGGCATTATGAAAAGAATACCTTTTAGTCCTGCAGAAATTATGATCTAAAGATCTTGGAGAAATTGAATTTATAATTCATGAGCTCCAATTTGAGTAAATCAGTTGTGTGTTTCTGCCATATGTTTTTACGGTTCTTAAGAATATGCTTACCTTTTCTGAGGTTAAATGTCACTTACTTTTATCAGTATAATCATAGAAATGAAGCCTTACCCCAAGTAACCCCTAAAAATAAAAAAAATTTAAAAATATTATCTTAAATGTATTAAGTAGATTTTTAGTTTATAAAAGCTTAAAAATTAATATGAACTTACCAGGAGTTGGTTCAAAATAGAACTGATTAACTGTGAGAGAAGAAAAATCAATGATCAGTGCTATCATGGATTTATTTTAACTTAGTACATACATAAGTTAAAATATTTTCTACATGAAAATGTTTTTAATGAAAAATTAATTCCTTTTTACTGCTTAGTTTTTTATTTGCATGATGTAAGATTTTTAAATGAGAATGCAATATCTAGATTCAAATTATCTTAATTCTGTCAATTATAATAAAAAAGTGGAGAAATTGGTAAAAAAAAAAAAAGTCACTTGTAATACCAGCAATAGTTTAACATCTTGGCTATTTAGTGACTTGCTTGTTTCACTTAATACTGTTGGTATTAAGAGATGATAATAAACAGAAAAAAAAAACCCGAACAAAAATAAATTCCCTTACTTCACAGAACTATTTTCCTATAACTGCCTTGTAACTGTATTCACTATATCTAAAAGATAGAAAATTGATGTGAATGGTTAATAAACTCACTGTGTACACTTCCATACAAGTGCTTACTTATATTACGCAAATTCCCCATGTGAATGATACTGGAACTGACATTTTAGGACAACTATGAGTACTTTGCACTGAGGGTTTGCTTACACAACCAGTTTCACTGGAAAAGTATTGCTTTGTAGCGTCCACGTGGTCGCTCTGTTTTAGCAGTCTGGCAGCTTGCTCAAAGACCGTTGACCTTTTGACCAGCAAGGCAAAGCTCTCTATTTGTAGAGCTGCCAGGTTCAGCACTGTCTTGACTTGTTCGTGACCTGAGTATCGTTTGTTCTTTTAGGATGCTTTTTCCTGCTCCCTGACTTAAGTAGGATCACTGGGAGAAGAAAAAAGTATGACCATGAAGATACAGCAGTTTCTATAAATTATTCTGTCAGGATTCTTTCCAGGATGGGTTGTGGCCAACAGTGCTTTTAAAAAAATTCAGCCGAAACCGGTTTGGCTTGGTGGATAGAGTGTCGGCCTGCGGACTAAGGGGTCCCAGGTTCGATTCCGGTCAAGGGCATGTACCTGGGTTGTGGGCACATCCCCATAGGGAGATGTGCAGGAGGCGGCTGATCGATGTTTCTCTCTCATCGATGTTTCTAACTATCTCTCTCCCTTCCTCTCTGTAAAAAAATCAATAAAATATATTTTTAAAAAAAGGTCAGAAAAACAAAATATAAGTAGATGTTAAGAGTTCAGATCTACTAGTAGGTAAACTGAATGAGTCATGTGTCTGAGGAGTCAATATTTTCACTGGAGGGGACCTTGGAGCCAAATATATACATTTACCTAAGGTCATGTAGATAATTTAATTGTAACAATGAGATTAAAATTTAGACTTTCAAATCACAGGCCAGTGCTCTTTTAGCCATGTTTTGATAGAAAGATGAACTTGCTAATTTTTGTAATTACCAATAATTAGTCACTGAAGGTAGTTTCTTAAAACATTTTTAGTTAGAGATATTTTCCTTTTGGAGTTAGACAATAATGCTGCTTAAACAGAATGGATTATGGGAAGAGCACTTAGGTATTTGAACTCAAAAGACTTAGGTTCTTTTTTAGTTGGGCTCAGAGCTACCTGCTTGACCTTAACATTTCTGGGACACTTCAATGTTCTTCAAGATGGTAGACTTTAAATAGTCTATATTGAAGGATCCTGAAAATTTTATCTTGTAATTTTGGCCTAACTTTCTGACATTATTACAAAATACTGCATGTCCCTGATTCTATGGTACCATGATTATAAAATGCACCATTTAGTTAATGAGAGCATTTTGAAGAAAAAGGAGATTCTAGATGAAATCTAGTATCTGCTGTGGTATGTGCCTTGATTTCAGAAAATGTTTAAGTGTGAAAAGTATTTTTTAGACCAGGACATAGAATTTTTAAATATCTTTTGTAACTCCACGTATTTATCCTGTGTTTCTGTAAACCAAGATTCTGAATAACTTATTGTATCAATAAAAGGCCTCCTTAAAAAAGTTGAATGATGTGCAATTCAGTAAAAAATTATCTGTTGGGAGTTAGACTTGATAATCTTTAATGTATTAATGTTTATGCTAATGCTTTGTTAGGAGAAATAATCAAGTCTGTTTCACCTCCTCTAAAGCAACTTATTCTGTAACTATTTAGTCTCATGACTCTTCACTTTCACCCTCATCAATAAGAGGTGAGGTTGTTTTGTTGATTTATAGTTTGGATTAATTGAGTAAATGAATGTAGAACTGTTTGCAGGCATTGAGATTTTTTTTTTGTTTTTGAATTTAATAGCCATGCTTTATTTAGTTTCCAAATGAATTGGAATAATAAAGATAGTAATATTCATGATGAAGTGGCTCATCATATGTAGGGTATTGAATGTATAAAACCTATACATTCTATATATATAATGTGTGTGTGTGTGTGTGTGTGTGTGTGTGTGTGTGTGTGTGTATATATAAAACCCTAATATGCAAATAGACCGAATGGCGGGACAACCAAACAACTGGTCGCTATGACGTGCGCTGACCACCAGGGGGTGCACACGGAACATGGCGGGCGTCAGCCACGGTAGGATGGTGGAGCAGGTGAGTGGGGAACCAGACCACGGTGGGGTCTGGTTGCTGTCATTGGGGTGAGCCTCTGGTGGTTACTGAAAATTCTTTGCCCCCACACACCACGGTCCCGCTGGGCGCTAGCACCTGCTGCCAGCCGGGCCCCGCTCGCACCCACTGCTGGCGCCAGAACCGCTGCTCGCATCCATTGTGAGCACACTGAGGGCTTATCCACCTCCCCCTGCTCCTGAGGGGCTATCGGGGCAGCAGCCACCGCTTGCACCTGCTGATGGTGCTGGCCCCAATTGCTTCGTGCCATCAGTGGGTGTGAGTGCTGCCGGTGCTGTCAGCGCATGGGAGTGGCAATGGGAGCAGGGCTGCCTGCAGACAGGGGACCAGGGGCTGCAGTGGGAGAGGCTGGGCGGGGGCGTGGAGGATGGGCCAAGACCCACCCCTGTGCCCACTGCAGCCTCATGGCTCACAGTTCCTTGCAAGGTGCATGAATTCGTGCACTGGACCCCTAGTATTTTTATAAACTTTATGGATTAACAGGCTAGAGTATATTTACCGCTATTATGTCATTAGGTGTCAGGACCTAAAATAAAGAAAACAATCAAATAATCAAGGAGGTGTAATTCAGCATTTTATCTATCTTTTTTATGTTACACATTTTATATTAGCTTGATTAAATGGAAACATGCTTTTTAGAATTCTTAGCATTACTAAAATTATGGCATTGAAATTTATTATTTGCTAATATTTTAAGTAAATCCCTACAGCCAACTCCCCCATTTTCTTTTGTGAGCTCCAGATGTAGTAGGGACTTTTAGGGAAGATCATTAAACTTATGCTTACTGGGTTGGAAAAAGGCTATATTTTGGGATTACTTCTTTATGAGAAAAAACTTTAATGTCATTTCCTATAATTTTAGGAAAGATTATTGTTATGTACATAACTTACTTTTTGGTTTGTGACTGAGTCAATCTTGTCATTTGTAATTATTCCTCATTCAATACAATCCCTTCAGAAGTAAAATTTAAATCAGCAGTTCTCAACTTGTGGGTCACGACCCCTTTGGGGGTTGAACAACCTTTTCATAGGGGTCGCCTAAGACCATTGGAAAACACATATATAATTACATAGTGTTTTTGTGATTAATCACTATGCTTTAATTATGTTCAATTTGTAACAATGAAATTGGGGGTCACCACAACATGAGGAACTGTATTAAAGGGTTGCAACATTAGGAAGGTTGAGAACCACTGCTCTATATAATCAAGAAAATTTCATAGCCAAAACCGGTTTGGCTCAGTGGATAGAGCGTCGGCCTGCGGACTGAAAGGTCCCAGGTTCGATTCCGGTCAAGGGCATGTACCTGGGTTGTGGGCACATCCCCAGTAGGAGATGTGCAGGAGGCAGCTGATCGATGTTTCTCTCTCATCGATGTTTCTAACTCTCTATTTCTCTCTCCTTTCCTCTCTGTAAAAAATCAATAAAATATATTTAAAAAAAAAAAAAAAAAAGAAAATTTCAGGTCTTAGGTAGTTCAGTTTTCAAAAGTATGCGAGATTTGTACATTAAAGGACTCGAGTCAAACAAAGTATCAATAACTAATGAACCCTGTAAGAGAATAATAACCATTAATTCTTATGTCAAATTCTCTGATTAAATTGAAATAATTTTCAAGTTTTGTTTTGTATTCATTTAAATACTTTTTAAAAGGGAACTTTAAGTATAATTACCTGATTTGGATTATATGGAAAAGGAAGAGGAATTGGAATCTACCAAAAAAATAAAAAAAATAAATGAGTTGCGAATAGAATAAAATGTGAACGTTTTGCTTTGGCTTTTTTTCTCACTTATGCATTCATTTTCTCATCCATCCAGTCATCCATCCATCCAGTAATTATGGAGCAGTTATGTGCTGTCAGAGAGCCCACCTTCTAATTCGTGGAGGTTAGATTCCAAACCTTCATAATTTTTTTCTTTCAGGAGGTATGCTTATTTTGCTTAATTAGTCAAACCTAAAGCCCAGGAATCTGTTCTACATGTTGATAATTCTTGCAAATCTATCAGTTTCTCTACATTCATTCTTTGCCTGATATTTTTTTTCCTGTTCAGCCATTTCATATAGGAAGAGGACACAAATAAATCTTCCCTCTTCAGATCATGGCAATTTTAATTACCCCATAAGCACAGCCACTAAGATCTATTATTAGGAGAAAACGTGGCAAAGGGGAAACTTTGCCTGATAGTTAATACTACTCTGCCACCTAGTGGAAGGAAGAGTTTCCATTTCAAATACCAGTGATTTTTTTCCATATAGATTTACACTTAATTTTATAATAGAGATGATATAGACATATCTCTATAATTTTATATAGAGATTCCTATATTCTAATTATAAACCAAGACTTTAGAATTTTGTATTAATTTAAAACAAATCTTACTGAATGTCAGACCAGAAAGGGGAACAATGCACCTAGATTTGACTAGAATAAAAATAATTAGCAATTAATTAAAATGTAAGTACTTAGAAATTTAGTGGCTAAGATTCAGTTAGGACATGTGAAAATGTTTAAAAAGAATGTTCCAGTGCGGACTGTAACTTTGGTGACAAATTTCCAAAAGCCTACTTGAAGTTGAGAAGTAAACCATTTGAAATTAAATACCAGCAAAGGGAAGGTGTTTGTTATATTTAGATATAAAAACAAATTTACACAGAATCGTATTTATGTTTTAAGCACATTTTTAGGTGATAAACAAGACGTTAAGCAAGATGCTATCTTAAAATGTGTGTGAACTTCCCAAAACATCACTGCTTAAATACTGTCCGAATTTAACGTTTCCAACCTGTGCTGCAGCCCCACTGTACTGGTCATTCTTCCCCCAAATTGCAAGGTCCTTCTTAGGTCTGTCCCAAGCACTGTGGTTCCCTCTCCCTCACCCGCTTCTCGTCCTGGCTCAGATGCCATCTCCCTGTGAGTGAAGTCTTTGATCCACAGCCGAAGTCAGCTTTGCATTTGCATCTAGACGCACTTATCAAATCACAGTGTCTTGTTTTTCATTTATGAATTTCTCTTCCTCATCAGACTGTGAACTTATACTCTTCTGTATTTCCAGCCCTCACTATAGACCCCATTAGATAATAGACACTCAGTAAATATTAACCGAATGAATGCTGTTGGCGTCAATAAAAGTATTACATAGAGAATAAAGGCAGTTATATTATGTATTTAGCATTGTTCCGACCTTTATTAAAAAGTGTTATAAGAACTCAGATATTAAAAAGATGAGAGGGGGTCCAATAAGAAGAACAAACCAATTATATTGTTTGACCTGTGAGAAAAACTTAGGAAGAGCTGGGGGGGCGGGGGGGGGGGGCAGGGAAATTTGTAGAGAAAAGAAAGCAACAAGGTGATTAAGAAAAAAAAAAAAAAAGAATGGGTCTTATAGAAAGAGGGTAGTATTCTCTTCATGGAGAGTAACTAGCCTCATCATAGTTTAAGTAACTCAGTATAAATACTTTCTTGATGGCAAGAGGAGGAGACACTGAAGATTTAGGGGGAAGTTTGCTAGTCCCTTGTCACACTCCACCACAAGCTATGTGGGGAGGGGAGTGTGAGTAGCTGATGCCTGGCAACCTTGTAAAGCTTCACATTTCTCTATTAAAATTTGGAAATTTTTATCATCATCATCCAACTAATAAGTATTCTTCACAATTTGAGATTTCCCAAACCCATACTTACTGGGGGAAGTTGGGGAGGTGGGAAAAATGGGATCTGAGGAAAAAATGGTAGTCCTGGGGGTGGGTAAAAGCTAAATCTCTGTAAGAAGAAACACGATGTCAGTGATTGCAGACAATTGCAAACTTATTTTATTTTTTTAAACTTTTTTTTTATTGTTTAAAATATTACAACGAGTAGTACGTTTGTCTCCTTTTTTCCCCCCTTGACCTTCCCCCAGCCTCCCCTACCCCGCGGTGTCTTGTGTCCATTGGTTATGCTTATATGCATGCATACAAGTCCTTTGGTTGATCTCCTACCCCCACACCCCCCACCCCCAATTGCAAACTTTTAAAATGATGAACATGCCCTTTGAAAATACAACTAGAAGTTTACCTGATCACTGGAACTGCCTCCAGATTGTTCGAGCTTGTAAAACAATAACAGCAACGAGGTGAAACAACATATGTGGCAAAACATTACTCATTACAAAGAGGTTTTATTCTAGCTGAGGGCAGGTAACAAGCTGCTACTGAGCATGATGCTCATCAGTAATGTAGCTTCACCTCTGAAATAAAACACGGCTGAGTGTCTAATAAGGAAAAGTTGAATTAATTCTGCCCAGCGATCAGAATGGAAATAAGTTTCTTCAGATTAATTAATACTACATGCCTCTTTTTCTTTGAATCAACAATGTTCTCAGCATCTGGAAGTTAAAAGTGAAGGAAGTATGGAAGTAGAAGTTCAGATTTGGTATCCCCAAAAACAAATTTTGAAAGCTCCCTCACTTCTCCGAAAACCCCTCTGTTAAAAAAAATGTGCAGGGAAGAGGGTTTCTTGCCTACTTGGTGTCCTACGTATTCAGACTATAACAGACACAGGTTAGACTCATAGATCTCACTTGGATAGATGTAGAAAGCACGGCTATAGTCAACCTGAGACAGTTTAGGGTAAGGGTATCCTACACAATACAAGCGTGGTATGCGAATTGTCCCCTGGACAGGGAGGTCGTCAGGGGTTTGACCAGGGGGCGGGGCCAGCCGGGGAAGGGAGGGAGGCCCCAGCTGGCAGCGGACAGCCACTAGGGACACTACCAGTGCATGAATTTTGTGCACTGGGCCTTTTGTTATAAATGAAACTCAATTCAAACTGTGTAATTAAGACCTAGGTCACGCCCTAGCCAGTTTGGCTCAGTGGATAGAGTGTCAGCCTGTGGACCAAAGAGTCCCGCATTCGATTCCAGTCAAGGTCATGTACTTCGGTTGCAGGCTCCTCCCTGGCCCAGGCCCTGGTCAGGGCTTGTGCAGGAGGCAACCAATCGATGTATGCCTCTCACATCGCTATTTCTCTCTCCGTCTTTTCCTCTCTCTTCCACTTTCTCTAAAAATCAATGGAAAGATATCCTCGAGTGAGGATTAAAAAAAAAAAAAAAAAAGACCTAGGTCACTGCAGAATATTTGTTCTGTCTTGCTAAGTTTATTTAAGAGTTTCCTGTGCTCCAATTAGGACTCTTCAGTGCTCCTGCATTTTTATCATTCTCTGCAGGTCCTGAGGTCGCTCTTATAACTCACTTTACAGACTGGGAAGCCACGGGTTTCTTCCTCGCTCAAGGTCATGCACTTAGCAAATGGCACCATGCAGCTGGGATTCGTATTGGGAAGACCCTTGCGCTGAGGGAAAAACGGGACGTGTCTGGGTCTACAGCATTGCTGGACTCCACGATCCTCTTTTGTGAAATGAGAACATTTAGGAAATGCTTTCTAGCCCAGAAATACTGTCTCTAGAACGGAAGTGGAGTGGACAACCGGCGGGGAGTACTCACAGGGATGGGCAGAGCAGTGGCAGTGCTCAAAAGGCCAGCCAGGATAAGAAATTCCATTCTGAGGGAGGAGTCTGGAATGAAAGGGTTAGGACAGTGGTCGGCAAACCTCAGCTCGCGAGCCACATGCGGCTCTGTGGCCCCTTGAGTGTGGCTCTTCCACAAAATACCACGTGCGGGCGATTGAAACTTCATGGCCCATGTGCAGAAGTCGGTTTTCAGCCTGGGCGAGTCTATTTTGAAGAAGTGGCGTTAGAAGAAGTGGGGGTACTTCGCTGAGGTCGACCCCTCAGATTGAGGACGTTTTTAGCAAAGGCCAGCTTAGGAGTACCCTAATTAAGTTAATAAGAATGTACCTACCTATATAGTTTAAGTTTAAAAAATTTGGCTCTCAAAAGAAATTTCAATCGTTGTACTGTTGATATTTGGCTCTGTTGACTAATGAGTTTGCCGACCATTGGTTTAGGAGATCATTATCAGGCTTTTCTTTTTTCTTTTGCCTACCTCCTATTCCCATTGTAATAGACTGTTTAGTGAGAGGAGTTGAAATCGTGGTCAGGCTAACTTCTGTCTCTAGATTCAGGCTCTGTAAGCCTAGACTGTGCTTTAAAATGCATTGAATGCCTTTAGATGAGACACACATTCTCTGGTTCATAGCATTGCATTCCTACTCTTCCTCATAATCTATTCCAGTGGTTCTTAACCTTCTGGCGCTTTAAATACAGTTCCTCATGTTGTGACCCAACCATAAAATTATTTTCGTTGCTACTTCATAACTGTAATGTTGCTACTGTTATGAATTGTAATGTAAATATCTGATATGCAGGAAGGGTCTTAGGCGACCCCTGTGAAAGCGTCGTTCTACCGCCAAAGGGGTCACGACCCACAGGTTGAGAACCACTGATCTATTCTGTTCGGTCCCTGAAGTTATTTGAATTTGTTATCTCTATCCACAGATCTTCAAACACCAGTTTTATATCATGCTTAGTATTGGGGATGTACCATTACTGGCTCAAATGAGATTCCTTATGTAATATACAAATAAATCCACCTTGAGCTTCTACGAACCCTGTGAGACTTACCATGGTCTGGATGCTGTTACTGACAACTTTAATTTCTCAAGAAGGAAAGGATCTGGAAAAAATCTTGTAAGGCATAATGGGTTGGCAGACAAAAAGCATAATATGAGTAGATTACATAAAGCAAATCAATATCGTCTTTACTGGCTAGTTGATTCAGAAAGCAAACCTTTTTATGGTCCTCAATCACACTTAATTTAAGTGAACTTACCTTGTGAGTTTCCAGCCAAATAACTGAACTCTAGAACTGAATTTTGGAAGAAAAAGAAACTTCATCATGTTCTTATTAAGACTTGTCCCCAGGATCTGAAGCAAGATGTACCTCTTTATATATAAGTCACTCTTCAACTATTTCATATGTATCGGAAACTGAAATCTGATTTAAATTTGTGCCATTTTATTTTGCCTGAATTTAAGCAACTTATCCCCCTCTCCCTCCTTTCCCCACATCTCTCCTTTGTAGTTTTCTTTCTTAGATTCAAACCCTTGAATTTCTTTTTTCCTTTGTCAACTGAAGCTATTAGAAATCATTAAATTCTCCAACACAAGAATATCTTACATTCTTTTACCTAGTGCAATAGAATAAACCCAAATGACACTGTATGTCCTTTTAAAAAATTACCTTTGCTTCAAATGGCCCTCGGAGCAAGAATTCAAGGAGCAGTGTGATCTCCTAGTACCTCTATGCCCATCTAGTATTTAAGCTGTATTACTAATGCCTTCATGGATATGGGCAATATGAGTCATAAAATTCAAAGCTAAAGTGAATAATTGTTTCCAGACTAGAAACTCCAACTCATAAAGTCTCTCAATTGCACAGAGATAGGATTAAAGACTGATTACTGAGAAAATAACTTCATCCCCTTGGTTGGGATTAGGGTAATGTCTTTATCACAACCCACAATTAAACACTGTGATCACCAAGAATATTAAAGTGCTTCTACAATATGTCATTTAGGGCAGTGATACACATGGGAGCCTGAACAGATAGAAAATGTTAAGCTTCTAAAATTTTCTATTTTTAGATAATATTTTTTATTTCAAAATAAAACATTTTTAGTAAATATTTAGGTAGTGTCTTCAGCATTAAAAATCACTTTTCACTATTCCAAAACATGCAAAACATTTAAAATGATAATTTAAGTCTAATTAATACCACTAAGTACAATTTCACTGTTCCCAGCAAACTCATGAATAGAAACTTGTTTTGTAATTAGTTAAGACCTCTCATGACATTTCTTTAGAGCTACATACAAAAACATTCTAAATTTTTTTAAAAAAATATATTTTATTGATTTTTTACAGAGAGGAAGAGAGAGAGATAGAGAGTTAGAAACACCGATGAGAGAGAAACATTGATCAGCTGCCTCCTGCACATCCCCCACTGGGGAAGTGCCCGCCACCCAGGTACATGCCCTTGACCGGAATTGAACCCGGGACCTTTCAGTCCGCAGGCCGACGCTCTATCCACTGAGCCAAACCAGTTTCGGCAGACATTCTAAATTTGAGATAATTTCTAAACTTATTTCCCTCATTGGAAAAATCTAATAAATAATAATTAGATTTTGACTAATCAAATTGAACTTAATTACTTAGACATGACATGGTGTGATGTGCTCTGGTTAAGAACAAGTGACTCATTGAGCTAAGAAGAGAGAGAAATAAAATTTTGAAGTTAATCAGGGAAGATTATCCTGATAAAAACAAACTCTGCCAGAAGTATCCTACAGATAAAGTTCTTAGGGGCACATTCTCTCAGTGACTATCAGAGATAAAGCTCTTACCAACAACAAATTTCTGATTGTTGAAAGAAATAATCAGAGATAATTGCATTGATATCTTTTCTTTCATGTAAGAAAATATGTAAAAAACCATTTTATTTTCTTTCAAATATTTAAAGTAGAGTAAGGATGATAAGGTCTTTCAGATCCTACAAACTCTATTATGGTGGCTTTTATATTTTTGCAATCTAGCTTTTACTGTAATAATAGTTACCAAAAATGAGCTCAAATGAGAACACACTTTCTCTTAAGATAAATGTTCTTGCTTCAATTTACAGTAGTGATGTTTACCTCTGATTCTATTGGGCATCAAAGCAACTCAGGAATCTCCACTGTCCGTGTTATCTTTACACTATTTTGAGGACATGAAATGTGTAGAATTTTTACAGGGCCACCCTCTCTCCCAAAAAACACATGGACACCTGCATAAAAGCTAAAGTTAGTTGTATCAAGCAGTGCACAATTGTCTACATTTTCAATTGAATCGATAAAGAACACTTGAATTCACTTGTTCCCTGTTTAAACTTACATTATGACAAAGGACATTCATGACAACTACCATTTAACAATTGAACATTAGTTTCCCATAGGAAACGTCTCTCCCAACCATGTTCACACTTGTATTTTTTTTATCTAACGGGGTCTAGGAAGCACAATTATAATTTGATATGAAGCCTGAGCCCTGGGCTGATCTTTCACATATAGTTCTTTAAATAAATGACTGGAAAAAAAACTTGAACAAGTACTTGGATTTCTATGGATTTTTATTAGGGTATTAATACATGGAAAATAATACACGTTCACAACAAAAGGGCATTGTTGCATTTTCTCGACATGCACATGGAATTACAGACAAAAGGACGTATCTCATAAATTGATACAGTGTGATGAGTTAAACTGTTTACAAACAGCATACAGCATTTTGCTCATATCAACTTCACTTAATGTTAAAGTCTTATTTCCAACATCAATGTTAAATGGCTGGTGCATAGACAGTTATCAAGCAATTACTCATTGTCTTCTCAGACATGCAAACATTCTGCTAAATATAAATCTACACATATCACAGCTGCATGGATTTCAGAAGTGGTCAGCATAGAGGAGGATGCTGGGAAGTTTGAGTTCTTTCAGATCTTAATTCAAAACAGGAGGTTTTCATCTATGTCTTCTGTAAAAAAGCGAAAACAAAACAAAGCACAGTTTTAGGAAGTAGCCAGAGTAGTACTAGAAACAAACACCATGGAGCTGCAGGATTAGAACAGGCAGCATGATGGTTCTCATCCTGGGGAGGGCATTGGTCACCTGTGAAGCTTAAAAAAATATATAACTTCAGGCTTCATGCCTGGCTTCCTGAATCAGAACCCCCAAGGGTGGGCCAGTGGCGTGTACATTTAGAAAGCTCTGCAGGTAGTTCTGATGGAGGGTTGAGAACCACTGATAGAGGATGTTGCAGGGAGGCCCAGCCAAGTAATGGCAAGTATACTAATCTGTAAGGGTTGTTAAGATATAATGGAAATAAGTGGAGGTCCAGTGACAAATCAAATTTCCAATAGATTAATTGGAAAAGAACTTGTTGCTGCACCTACAGAAGAAGACAGCATCCTCAGGGGGCTATAAGACTGCCCCTTACCAGTATGGCCCTCCTTCAGTAATTGTTGCAGACTAAGCTACTACCCTGTCTGGGGCACCAGGTAATTCTCCTGCCCAATATAAATCTTCCTCTCACTCCAAGAGTGGGAAAAATGATGAGTTTGGTATATTTCTTTGGAGCACTGGCTTCATTTGTAAAATTGAGATAATAGTTTCATTACTTATAAACTAATTTATATCCTAAAAATTTATATCCTATATAATAAAAGCCTAATATGCTAAGTGTCCAGTTGTCCGGTCGGCCGTTCAACCAATCAAAGCATAATATGCTAGTGACATGCAAAGGCAGCTCAACTGCTCACTATGACATGCACTGACCACCAGGGGGCAGACAGTCAACTGGTCGACCAGTTGCTATGATGTGCACTGACCACCAGGGGGCAGACACTCCAACCAGGAGGTTAGCTTGCTGCTGGGGTCCGGCCAATCGGGACTGAGTGAGACGGGGTTGAACATGCCTTGGAACCTTCCCACTGTCCCTTCCCGCTGGCCAATCTCCTGTGTCCCTCCCAGCCCTGATTGTGCACTGGTGGGTCCCTCAGACTGGCCTGTGCCCTCTTGTAATCCGGGACCCCTTGGGGGATGTTGGAGAGCCAATTTTGGCCCAATCCCACAGGCCAGGCCAAAGGACTCCACTGGTGCATGAATTCGTGTACTGGGCCTCTAGTTTATTTATATTCTTGAATATATCTTGAATAGGTTTCTAATATATAACTTGAATGTGTTTATTTTTCATTTCCCTAATGTAACTGCCCTAGTTCAAGCTCTCATCAACTCTTGCCTAAATCTACCACATCATCTTCTCAACTGTTTTTTGGCTTCTCCACAATGCAACCAAAAGAATCTTCCTTAAATATAAACCCAATGAAATCACTCCCTGTTTAAAACACGCTGGTGATCCTCCAGGACTCCTAGGGTGATGTCTTTAACTGGTTTAGTAGGACCTGCATGATCCAACATGTTTACCCTATTAGTCCCACTAGGAAGGCTTTCCTGAAGATTAGTGTGGATATATGTCAATAAGTATACATACACATGTTATGTCCTGGGCAGTAAATAAGTACGACTCCACCACCTCTTAAATGAACCCCTTTTTGGACATAGAAGGAAAATGAGACCTGCGGGGGACGAGTGGCATACCCTAATTCACAAAGCCAGTTAATGACAGAGCTGGAATATTTGAGCACATTTAGTTCACATCAAAGGCCATTAAAATTCAGGAAAAGTCTGGCTAAAATTATCATGTCTTTCTGTTGATTTCTCAGCCCAGAGGGAAGGAAGGATATACTTATAAACTGAGACATACCTGTTTTTGCTTTCCCTAAATGCATCCCAAAGCAGTAACTTGTTTACTGGTTCTGACTGAATGTTTCATATGTGCTTTATTGGCTTACTGTGTGATAATTCTTTCCCTTCTTCATAATAACGTAATCACAGCCAAACCACACTGAACAAACAAGACCATTAGGAGCTTTGCAGTCACTGGACTTTAAGCTCTTCCTGCTCCTCCCAGACAACCGCCCAGCCCAGAGCCTGAGGGAGCCTACGTGCTGAACAGTGGCCACAGTTTCCTTAAATAAACGGTCTCTGTTCATATTCGTCTTTTGCTTCCTCCTTTAAAATCAAGTGCCATCTAAAAGGGCATACACAAGTACGTCCTGCCCCAGCCACGCTATTCCCTCTCCAGAATGGTGGGTGGCAGGGGGACACACACACACACACACACACACACACACACACACACACACACATCTCAATGTGAGAGAGAAACAAGAGAAACATCAGTTGGCTGCCTTTCACACGTGCCCCAACCGGGAATCGAACCTGCAACCTTTCAGGGTACAGGACGATGTCAACTAGCTAAGCCACTCTGGCCAGGCTAACTAGAGGCCCGATGCAGGAAATTTGTGCATGGGGCGGGGGTTCCTCAGCCCGGCCTGAGCCCTCTCACAATCCAGGACCCCTCACTCCTAACTGCCCGCCTGCTCGCTCCTTACTACTTGGCTCACCGCTCCTTAGCGCTCCTGCACTCGCCAGACATGAGCCCGGCTTCTGGCTGAGTGGCGCTCCCGCTGTGGGAGTGCACTGACCACCAGGGGCCAGCTCCTGTGTTGAGCATCTACCCCCTGGTGGTCAGTGTGCGTCATAGCTACCAGTTGTTCTGGTCCTTTCGCTGTAAGGGTCGCTGGGCTTTTTTATATATAGATAACTAATTCATCATATTCTCAGCTCTTTCTAATTTCAAGGCATTATACATGTGCATAAAGACTACTTTAAAAGTGAAGTTCACACAAGTTACCTCTTTGGGGGAACTTCTTACCTTTGAGGAACTTAATTTACTGCTTGGTCATATGTTATTCTACATGTATGTCGTGAATGTATGTATAAAACTTCAGCCTTAAGGATTTGATCTTCACTGTTCATTTACATTGTAAGCAGTTTTGATTTCCTATTTTTAAAAACATCTTTCAGCCCTAGCCGGTTTTGCTCAGTGGATAGAGCCTCGGCCTGCAGACCGAAGGGTCCAGGGTTCGATTCTAGTCAAGGGCTCGGTTGTAGGATCCGCCCCGGCCTGGGCCCTGGTTGGGGCACGTGCAGGAGGCAACCCATCGATGTGTTTCTCTCACATCAATGTTTCACTCTGTTTTCCCTCTCTCTTCCACTCTCTCTAAAAAATCAATGGAAAAATATCCTCAGGTGAAGAGTAACAACAACAACAACAAAAAATCTTTCAAATTTTGATAATTGAAAACATGCTTGCTCATAAAAATCAACTCTAACTTAGGAAAAGAAAAGCAAGTAGATTAAGACATAACCTAGCAAAACAAATGTCTAAATTTAAATTCCTCCACTGTGGGAGTAAAGAAAAACACTCTTAATTTAATTTTTTATTTTTGTCACTGAAGATGAAGTAATGGGTCACTTTTGGGTTAAAGGAATACTATTGGGATACAACTTGTGATGTAAGACCCAGCTCTTGCTGGTGTGTTGGTAATGAATTCTGAGATTCTTCTGATGTCTCCCATCGGCAGAAGCAGGCTGGCTGTTTTACTCTTCACATATGATTTTGTAAAAGTTTGGTCCAGCCTGGCTGGTGTAGCTCAGTGATTGAGCGTCAGCATATGAGCCAGGAGGTCATGGTTTGATTCCCAGTCAGGGTACATGCCTGGGTGGTGGGCTTGATCCCCAGTGTGGGATGTGCAGGAGGCAGCTGATCAGTGCTTGTCTCTCATCATTGATGTTTCTCTCTCTCTCTCCCTCTCCCTTCCTCTCTGAAATCAATTATATATGCAATACCCAGGTTAAGGAAGGATATCAAATCCTTTTCTCAGAAGGGCAGCCTTCTGAGATTTGCCACCACTCTCTAGGACTAGGTTCACATCATTTTATTAGGCTTAACCAACTGCTGAGACCTCAATGCAGTTATCCTCTAAATATTCACACTTGCTACTCTTTGAGCATCATAAAGGGAGTCAAAGAAAACCTTGCCATGAGAGTACTTTCTCTGAAGGAGTCCTGCCTGGGATGCTGCCACCTTGCCGTTTCTAGGTTTCGATTGGAACACACAGCAGGCCGTCTCTATGAGGGCTACAGGGCTTAGGCTACAGTGGTTCTCAACCTGTGGGTCGCAAACCCTGAAAATACATCCTGCATATCAGATATTTACATTACGATTCATGACAGTAGCAAAATTACAGTTATGAAGTAGCAACGAAAATAATTTTATGGTTGGGGGTCACTACAACATGAGGAACTGTATTAAAGGGTGGCGGCATTAGGAAGGTTGAGAACCACTGGTAGAGAATGATGATGAATTTACCTTCTTTAATTCCAAAGCAGTGGCCCCACTCCTTCAGGGTGATGTGCTTATCCTTGTTGGGGTCACACTCATCAAAGAAGCGAGTGATGCAGTGTTCCATGGGCACCAGGGATGCTCGCAAAGGAGCGAGCTCCGAATGTGTCAAGACTCTGCAATGAAATTCATGGCAGCCTATTAGCTGAGTAGCTTGTGTGTGAAAGTTAACTCTTAGAATCACCAAGGGCGTCTTTCTTCCACAAGATTGCTGACTATGCCAAATGAATAGTACGCTCATAAAAAGTTGCAAATGAAATAAACTATCTTAGGGTAAGATAGACAGCTTTTGGGGTGTCAATTCTTAAGGTTTCCCTTTTCATTGAAAACTGCCCTCCCGCCATTCAAATTTGTAGGGGTGCACCCCAGAGATCATGTTTCTGCAAACTGGCCCTACCTGATTGTTCCAGATGTAGCACTTGACCCAAGTTGGGCCAATCAGATTATTTTGGGACTTTAGGATCAAGAATGAGAGAATTAGAAGAGTCTCAGTGGGAAACGTGTGAACTTGGGAGCTGGGGTGTGGCCAGACTCTATTATTTTCAAAGCAGTTTTGTGTTTAAACACCAAACCACCTTTATTTGGCATTTCAGTCTTCTAGACTAGAACCGGGAAATCCCCTAAATCTGTTAGAATTCCCTTTGTCGAGATAACTAGACATTATAACAGGAAAGTGACCTGGTCATGGGAAGGTAAAGAGTTCTTACCTGTCCATCGGATGTTGGTCAAGTTCACTGAACTGCCAGTGTACAGGATACACATACATGTGGTAGTTTTTCTTAAAGTCCCTTAAGAGAAGGTCAATGGAATGGTCCCCAGCCAAGAGTCGCTTTTCATCCAGGTAAATTTTCTTGACCTGGAATTAGGAAGGGAGAAAGAAATGTAATCAAATTATCCCTTGCTAAAGCTTACTTGAAGAGCAGTGTAATAACACGACGGAGGAAAACAAGCCCAGGCCATTATATGAGACCAAATGAAATGCCTTCTAATCAACAATAGCCTTTCTTTTTTCTACATAGAATAACAGCCAACAGTAAAACAACTTAAGTTTTCAGAAGAAATTTGTCCTTTTTGATTTTTTTCTTTTAACTACATCATGTTTATTGCAGTCCTTAAAACTATGAGGAGATTTTAACTGATTTAGGCAAAATTGTTGATCAGTGAGTGAAAAGCCCACTCTTCCCCCGTTGGCATACTCCATTCTTAATCCTCAGGGTATTGCCACCCACTGCCTGCTCAGGCGCAGTGTAGCCCTAGTGCGATACTGTTTGTCCACCCTACCTGAAAATTCTGTTTTGTTTCTAATGCTCTCATGGCTCTCTGTGATGAGGTATTAAAGAGAGAGGATAGAAATTATTTTTGGGGAAATGTGTGCAAAACTCCTAGCTTGTGGTGTTACCCGTTATATCACTGAGTAATTGGAAGCAAACAGAACAGAACTTCTAACCATTCCCATGACCATATCTACCAGCTTCCCTCCTGATCAGTGTGCATGAACTTCCTGTGCTCCTAATCTAAGCCCTCCCCTCACTGGTGCCCAGAGCCCACCCCTTCCCACCCCTCCTCATCTACTCAGGATAACCTATGGCAGTTGGGCACCTTTCCTTCTTCACTGGCTTATTTCCAGAAACACAGGAGATCCTCCACCATCTCCCATTGGGAGCTGGAACTCTTAAACTTACATCCCCCTCCAGCTTCCACCCTATTTCACTGTTTTCCTTTGCAGCAAAATCTCTTGAAAATATTGTTTATACTTGCTGCTTCCGTATCCTTCCTCTTATTCTATTTTGAACCCTGTCCACTAAAGCTTTTCTCCTCTCCATTCTGCGTTAACAGCTCTTGTCAAGGCCAACTATGATCATCACACGCCAGATCAATGGCCAACTCTTAGTCCTCCTCTTACAACCTATAAACAGCTTTGACACAGTTTAGGCGCACCCATCTTCTTGTTTTATTTTTTCTTCATAGCACATTCCATCTCACCTGGCATATTTTACACATTTGCATGTATGTTCATATTTGCATATGCGAATATATACATATGCATGCACAAATCATATATTTAAATACACATGCACATATACACTTATTTGTTAAGAGTCTGTCTTTTTGCTTAGAATGTAAGCTCATGAAGGCAGATATCTTTGTTTTGTTTATGTGCTGTATCTCCAGCACATAAATCAATTCCAGCTACTGGAATAAATTTTTTCTGGGACCTTCTGGAATCAATATTCTGCACATTTTAATATTAATATATTACTGACATTGTGAGTAATGAATTCTCTTATACCATAAATCTATGTCTGGCCTATGAGGGCAAAAAGACATTTAGGTTTAAATAATATGTCTGGGCATGAATATATAAATGCTGAATTGAGGTTCAGCTTGCTTAAACAGAGGTTGCTCTAGGTATGAGTTAGACAGCTCTCCCTCAGGCTACTGCCCTTTGCATCAGAATGGGGTGGTTTAGCATGTCCCATACCTTGTGGCATGAATGGTCACCGCTACTATTCCATATGTGCCAACCAGACTGGGGAGGCAAAGTGGGCTTTTGCTATACGCTTAGGGAGGTAACCCCCTCCCCACCTATGCCCTGACACCTTTTTTCCTCAGGCCTTCTGGGCAGACACATAGGGAGCTGACCTGTGCATAACTTACTTTATTTCTCTGCTTCTCATTTAAATATCCAGCATGTTCAGGGTTAGGCTCATAAAGTTGCATGAGGATATTCTTGAGCCAGTCTCTCATTCTTAGAGGGAACTGAGTCACTTCAAAGTCCGTACAAGTAGGAATAGCTGTTTCAAGCAGAAAGCAAATCGATGTTAACCTTTGGGTCTTACTCCTGTCCTATGGCAAGTCCTCAGAACAGGAAGCGTGGCGACTGACAACACCCTCCTGGCCCAACCACCACAACATGGCCCTTAACCCTGGCGGCACAGCAGCACGGCCCTGGGTGTTGAAGAAACCTATCAGATGCCAGCTTCCACTCAAAGAAATTCTGATTTGATTGCTCTGGGGTGGAGCCTGGCATCAGGATGTTTCACAGGCTCCAACAGTAGCTTAGATGTGCAGCCAGGGCTGAGATCTGCGTCTCCAGAACCGGAGAGCTGGGACTTAGAGGTGGAGGACACGGCTGTTTATCAGGGGAAAAGAGAAAAAGCTAGAAGTTAGCTCTTACTGTGGTCACCATGCGATACTTTGAAATCTCAGTGGCTTAAAGGAACCAAGATTTTTTTTTTCAGTTCTGCTGAGATATAATTGACATACAACACTGCACACATTTAAGGTGTGCAGAGGAACGACTTGTCATGCACCACATATTGTGAGATGATTCCACAGTAAGTTTAGTTAATATCCATCATGACCTCACATAGTTACAAAAAAACATTTTTTTTTTACTTGTGATGAGAACTTTCAGAATTTACTCTCTTAGCAAGTTTCAAATATGCCAGACAGCGGTATTAACTATATAGTCAACATTGCATCGACGGTTTCCTTCTTGAGACCACTGCAAGCCCGGCACAAGTTGGCAGGAGGGCTCTCTGCTCATGGCAGTCTCTCTGGGCCTCAGCGCGATGGAGAAGCCACCTCTCAACACAGGGAAAAGGGAGCGGGGAGAACCACACAGCAGTTCTGAAATGCTGCTGCCCAGAGCGCACACGGGTGATTTTTGCTCAGATTTCCTTGGACAAAACAACCGATATGGGTACATCTAAAAGCAAGGGGCCTGAGACATTTAGTCCTCTCCTGGGTCTAGGAGAGGAGAACCGGAAATATTAGTGAGCAATGCTGATGTGGAGAATCACTTAGCGGTGAGGAGATCCAAAGACAATTGAGAATATCCTGGGAAAGGAAGACGATTAAAAAAAAATACAAAAAACTTCTGGAAGAATATGTTGTCATAAAAGTTCTTGGCAGAGGCTTAACTTGACTAAGGAAAAGGACAAATAATTTAGCAAAATTCCAATGATTCATCTCAATTATTAAGTGGATAACATTGTATAGTGGTTCTGAACCCCAGCCACACATTAGAATTGTCTAGGTTACTTTAAAAAAAATGAAAAAAAAAAAAAAAAAAAAAAAGCCAAGGTTCCAAGCCAGCTCAATAAAATTGAAATCTCTCATGCTTAAAGCCTGGGCATTCTGCTTTTTCTTCTTCTTCTTCTTTTTTTTAAGTCTCCCAGGTTGGTTTTAATGTGCAGCCTGGGTTCAGGACTATAGTAGCTTTCTCCTGTTTGCATACGTATGAGCACATGTAAGTATGCTGTTTAGATATGCACAGATTCACCCAACCCTCTGAGCAATGGTGGCTGGTGGTAGTGACGGACTCTTACATTTGCAGGCTCCGAAATAATCCAGCTGCAGTTGGTGCCCCTTTTTGGTCCCCTCCAGTCTGCACTTAGTAGCAAACAGATGGCAGGAGCTGGCATAGGTCTGGTTGTCAGTGCCACAAACCTAGGAAAGACAAGCATGAGAAAAAACCCATGTCCCCGAATGCTCATTGGGAAAACGCTCAGCTCCTTAAAGCTCACTGCACTGTGCCCCGCAGGTGGCCAGGTAGGCGAGGCTATTAAAATGATAACTCTCCCATTGGGCACAAAAAAATTAACTAAATTATACCAATGGTGATGACCATTGAACTTCAGATAAGCTCAGTAGAATGAAACTGAAGATGTTCCAAGGATAGAGTGAATTTTAAAATGATTTCTATAGACCAGTGCCATTATTACCTTTCTAGGGCACAGTTGAAATTCTTTGATTTGGCTGCTATTTGTTCCTACTTAATATTAATTCAAATATTAGATTATAACCTGGGCTTTTACCTTCTTTTTTTTTTTTTTTTACAAAAAAATTTCAATAGCTTCTTTCATTTAAATCACTAGTTGGTGCGCCTTAGAGACCAGTTTGTAGAATACTTACCTGGTCAAGGAGTCTTGTAGGAGGACAAGTCATTGGATCTTGGCAAACACAGTGGGGTTTTCCCTGTTGGTCAGCCTTGCACATGTGTCCTCTTTTACACTGGAAGTTCATGCAAGAATCTAAGATAAAAGTTTGGACAGGGTAAGCTAAATTGAATATATAAACTCAAATTCATCCAGATAACTAGCTCCACTTTCATTAATAAGAGAAAATTTGGGAAAACTTCAGAAACCATTTTAATGTCAATTTTCAGGTCAGGTCCTCTGGCATAGATTATGTTACACAATAGTCTAGATTTTTCTATACACTTTGGCTCAAAGTGTATAGAAATTTAGGAAATTTAGGAAAAACAAACAGCTCTCTTGGCCTGCCTGCAATAGTCATAGTCTGAAGTCTACAGTGCAATTTGTTTAGAAGTTAAATAAGCCATGAGAATTTTGTTGTGTTGAAATTAAAAATATTTGTGATTGGGAATTAGGTTTTCATTAAATATGGGATCTAAATTTCCTAGTAAGTTATGGATTTAAGAATCAAGAAGGTAGAATTAATTTCTCTCAGAAGCAAAAGGATTTAGATAAAATGAATTCTAAATTCATTAATATTGCAATAGGACTTCCATTTGGTAAACACACATACTCATAGCTATATAGTAGTCCCCCTCATCTGCAGGGAATACTTTCCAAGACACTCAGTGGATGCCTGAAACCATGGATAGTACTAAACACTTTATACTATGTTTTTTTCCTATACATACATAACTATGGTAAAGTATAATTTATAAACTAAGCATCGTGAAGTAGCTTTAAGCTACTATTGACCTTCTGGCGATATGCCAGCCGGGGGGGAGATCATTGGTTTTGGGAGAGCCTGGATCATCATGATGATATTGATGGTTGGATGTCAGGAGCAGATGATGTTCATCATTGGAAAAATTTGATATTTTTGGACTGATGTTGACTGCAGATAGCTGAAACTGGAAAGCAAAACTGCGAATGGGGTAGACTACTGTATATGAAATGTGGGCAAGAGAATGTCTACAACAGGCCCTGACCAGGTAGCTCGGTTGGTTAGAGCATCGCCTGCCTGATATGCCAAGGTTTCAGGTTAGATCCCTGATATGTGCATACAAGAAGCAACCAATGAATGCATAAATAAGTGGAACAACAGATTGATGTTTCTCTCTCTCTTCATCTCTCTCTCTCAAATAAATTTTTAAAAAGAGAGAGAGAATGTCTATACTTTATGAGATCATTTCCTTAGGTAGAACTGGGGAGAGGAGAATTCTGTGAAATAAAGGGATAGGGGTAGCCCAATATAGCCGATTCCATCTCTTCCTTGATATAGTCACAAACAGCCCATACTCACCAACATCGTATACCCTAATGTTGCCTTCAGTTGAACTTTCATCTTCATTCAGTGAGCTCTCTGCTTTTTTGGCCTTTATAATAACAAGAGGAGAAGGTTAAGTCTATTGGCAAGCTGTTACCTATTTTATATTTCTGATGTGCATACATTCACTGAGCTTTTCATATCTAAATCACGTCAGATCTCAAAAAGAGACACCAGTCATAACTGTGGAAATAGACAGCAATCCTCTGAGAACAGGAGCTATTTCCATCTTCCTGCACTGGATTCAGGCTCTATCTCTGGGGATTACGCAATAAAAGTTGGAACTAACTAACATCAGGAGCAAAGTTGGAACGTCCCCGTGGGATTGGGAAAAAACAGTAGAAATATAATATCATCGTGCAATTCTGTGGGTAAGACATGTTACCTCAGTAATCTCTGTGAAGCTGCTGGTAAAGGTTCCTTACAGCTTCTAAAGTGTAAGAAAATTCCTCCCTTAGAATGGCAGCAGAGCTCTCAGAAATCGAGGCTGTTGACCTTGCCCACCAAAAGCTGTCAAGACTTCCTGGTGGGTGGCTGCCAAGGTTTTGCACAGAAGCTCCAAATGATTAAACAACCAAATAACAATATGTTTCCCCCTACCCGACTCTCACTCTGCTGTCTCCCCATTATCATTTTGTGCCTGTTTGCTTCATGAGGTTTGTAGCTGAAGTCTTTGTTCTTCATCTTTATAACTAAATCAACAGACATTGCTGGATCTCCTGTTATGTTAGAGGCATTTTGCCAGAAGTTGGTAATCCAACTTGATAGGACCTGATACCTACCTGCCCTCAAGGCATTGGAGCAGCAGTTGTCAGTGTCTCCCACCCCTCACATCTGTCAGAGTTTACCATTCTAGTTAGCTCCAGGGACTTCCAACAGCCAGCATCTGTGTCTTTGTGGCTTCAAAACTATGGAATTCTATTTAGCCTGCTCAAAGAACAGACTGCAAGTTGTAGGGAATTAACACGCCTCTAAGCCTGTATAAACCAGGTTCCTTTGATTAGCTTCCTTTCCTTTCCTGTGTCACTTCTCCACTCCTCTTTGTTCCCTGAACTTCTAAAAAAAACCAAAACAAAACAAGACAAAACAAAAACAACAACCCCTCCCCCTTCCTACCCCCTCCTTCTCTCCCCCCTCCCCCACCAGCACACACACACACACACACACAAACTGCACTAAGATTCAAGGTCTGCTTCTAGGGGAACCAAAATAAAATAGTCATTTTCAGCCTAATAATGGAGATGCAGAAGAAAATAAGGAACTGCAATATATTTAGTAATGTTCTGATAGAGGTAAGCATGGGAGACTGGGAAAGCACAGAGAAAGGTCATGGCTGCTTCTTGATGAAGCTAACTGCTTTATCAGGCAAGCATCACTGTAAATAATCTCACCCCTTGGGATTCTCCAGGTTCACTGGCATCTTCATTCTCATTCTCAGGAGCTCTTTCTCTTTGCTCCTCATTTGTGATGTGATAGCTATCGGAAGCAGCCCTTTCAGCCTCCTGGAAGGCCTCGCTTGGCAGGAAGTAGTCCTCACGTGCACTGTGCCTGGGGCCGTCATCACCACCAGCAGCAGCAGGCTCTGCGAGTAAAGCCTCAGAAACAGTCTTCTTCTCCATCTCCTCAGGGTCGCTGATAACTTCAAGGCCAGCTTTTCCCTCTTGGCTCTGCCATTCAGTATCTTGATTGTGCTTCTTGATTTCTGATGCAGTTTCCTCTTCCATTTCTTCACTGGAGTTATCCTCTTCTTGTTCTTGGGGACCCTCCTCAAATTCATCTTTCTGCATCTTGCTTCCTTGAGTTGGTTGACTGGACTCTTCCAAAATATCATCAGATCGGGTAGTGTCTTCTTCCTGCTTGCTGGTAGAATGCTCCTGGGGAAATTCTCCCTCCCTTTCTTGGTTATCATTGTGGGTACCAACTTCGCTTGGCTCCAGTCTCATCCCTTCCTCGTCTCCATTTGGAATGTTTGGATCCTGCTCTTGGTTTTCTTCATCACCCAGGTCTTCACCATGGTTGCTGCTCCTGTTTAAATGATGATGTGAATCAGGTATAAGCTGTTCTTGGTTTTCCTCTGTGTTTGTGATGCTTTCCTGTTGGTTAGAATCTACAGTGGGACTAACATCAGGAGCAAGGAAATCAATATTCTCTGGGAGTTTTTCCTTTTGAGGCTCACTCGTATCTTCTTTTAGGTCCAATGTACCTCCAGCGAGTGCGTCCTCTAAATTCTCACTTAAGTCACTTTCACGTTCCTCTTGATCCTGTAATCCCTGATCTGCTGACTGGTCATGATTTTTCTCCTTTAACTTTTGTACTGAAGATTTTTCAGCCTTAAAAGAAAAATGTTTATTTTGAAACAAATGATAATTTATTATATACCTCACATTTACAATTCATAAAGCCAACATTTAATATTTATTATTCTTTGTTAATATAATGACATGTAAACTTACATTTATAATGTTCTTCATATTCTATAGCTACAAGTTTTACCTGAATTTGAATTTTGTGAAATGAAACAATTATATAGCACCTCAATTGAAGGAGTAAAACTCATTAATTCTCACAATTCTTCTAGTGATCGAAGGCAATTAATATGATATAAAAAAATTAAACTGAGATGAGAATGAAATAATCCCTTTGGCCATGCTTTGAAATGGAAACCTTTGGAGAATTTGGAAATTATCTTAGCATAACTATATGACTTACCTTATTGTCGGGCTGCTCTTCTACAGATGCTATAGTTTCCTTTTCATCTTCTGTATCTTCAACCCCTAAAATGGGCACCGTAGTGTCGCCAGGTGTTACTAACAGTTCAGCCTGTTGGATGGAACTCAAGGACTCAGCAGTTGGTTGGGAATGGTCAGATAGGAACCTTGCATTTGTCTGAAAATTAAAAAATTGGTTTGTGTTATTCATGTATAGATGTTAACGTTTAAAATTTTTAGTTAGTTTGTTATTGTCATCACTAGAGGCCTGGTACACGGGATTCATGCACTGGGAGGGAGGGTGGGGGGCATGGAATGCGGGGATTGGCCTGCTGTGGGAGTGCCTCTCATCCCGGTCAGACGAGTGGCTGTGGACCCCCACTCTGAGCGGCTGCTCCCACTATGGGAGCACACTGACCACTAGGGGGCAGCTCTTGCGTTGAGCATCTGCTCTCTGGTGGTCAGTGTGCATCATAGCGACTGGTTGACTGGTCATTCTGGTTGTTCTGCCATTCAGTCTCTGGGCTTTTATTATATAGGATTATTAATAGCAATAGACTTCATTTCAAAAATAAATTAAAAGATATTCTCTAGAATTTATAAGGATACAAGCAAATGTCCAGAATATAATCTTAAGTGAAAACAGAATCCCAATCATGTTTAAGAAAAAGTTATACATGCAGAGACTGGGTGAAAATAAAGTTTCAATAATAATAAATTTTGAGTTTTGGAATTACTTTCTGTGTTTTTCAAAATTTTACAAAACAATTGTACTTTATAATTTTGAAAAATATTGTTTGTATAGCAGAAAGCTGAGGTTAAATTAAGTTAACCATAGGGTATAGCATTGTACATTTGCTTAAGTTAATTACTCACTGATAATTAGCAGAAAGGCTGTAAACCTTTTATTCAATATTTTTTTACTTCCTTAACATTATCAGCCTAAATCCATCAAGAAATCCTTTAATAAAAATAATTTAATGTCAACTAATTAAAACACTGTGGAACAGAACACCAAGTCTAGTAGGGAAGAGTAGCTAAGGCATATTATTTCCACTAGATGGATGGCTCTGTCTATTTCTAGCAAGATCAGAGGCATGCTCTGGCCAGTGTGCACAGTGGTTAGAGCACTGGCACATGCACTGAAGGATTTAGGTTCAATTCCTGGTCAAGGCCATGTACCTGGGCTGCAAGTTTTATCCCTGGCCCCAGTAGAAGTGCATGCAGGAGGCAGCCAATGGATGTGTCTCTTTCACATCAGTGTTTCCCTCTCTTTCTCTCTCTCTTTCTTTCTCTCTCCCTCCCTCCCTCTCTACCTTCCACTCTCTCTAAAAACCAATGGAAAAAATATCATTGGGTGAGAATCAACAACAATAACAAAAACAGATCAGAGATCAGAAGCCTGGTTGGAGAAGTTGACTCACCTATTTACTATCTATCTGTAGTTTTGTTCCTCTTTAACCTGTCATCTCTCAAGGTGAAGTAAGCAGAAATATCAGGATAAGGTCAAGTACCCATCAGTAGATGAATGGATAAAAAAAGCTGTGGGACATTTATTCTATGGAATACCATGCAGCTGTAAAAAAAAAGGGATCTCTTATCCTTTGGGACAGCATGAATGACCTAGAAAATATTACACTAGGTGAAATAAGCCAAACTGAGAAAGAAAAATATCACATGATCTCACTTATGTGTGGAATCTAATGAACAAAATGAATTGACCAACAAATAAGACCCGAAGCAGGGAGGCATGGAACAGACTGACATACCTCGATGTGAGGTTGAGAGGATGAGAAGAGATAAACCAAAGAGCTTACATACTTACTAGAGGCCCGGTGCACAAAATTCATCCACAGGATGGGGGTGGGGGAGAGTCCCTCAGCCCGGCCTGCACCCTCTCGCAATCCGGGACCGCTTGGGGGATGTCCGACTGCCGGTTTAGGCCTGATCCCCAGGGATCAGGCCAAAACCCGCAGTCGGACATCCCCCTTGCAATCCAGGACCACTGGCTCCTAACTGCTGGCCTGCCTGCCTGCCTGATCACCCCTAACTGTCTCTGCCTGCCTGTCATATCGCCCCTAACCACTCACATGCCTGCCTGATCATCCCTAACCACTTGCCTGCCCGCCTGATCAACCCTAACTACCTCTGCCTCAGCCCCCGCTGCCACAGCTTTGTCTGGAAAGATGTCCAGAATGACGTCGGGAAGGTCGTTCGGCTGTCCGGTCTAATTAGCATATTATGTTTTTATTATTATAGATATGCATAGCCCATAGACACGGGCAATAGGGTAGTGAAGACCTGAGGGAGGGATAGGGGCTGGGAAGAGGGGGGCAAGAAGGGGAAAATGGGAGATATATGTAATACTACCAACAATAAAAAATACATTAAAAAGATAAGGTCATGTATATTAAAATATGTTATAAATTTTAAGGAGTTACCTAAGTGAAAAATTACTATGGCTAGTAGCAATAGCATGCAGTGGTAATAATACAAAGTGTCTGGTATCTTAGGCAGGTAGTCTCCATGAGTCTTTATTAAAGAGATGCTGTGGACACTCAGATGTCAGATCAGGTGTAAGTACTAGTATAAGACTCAGATTCTATTTGGATGGACTAATCTTTATTCCATTAGCAGGTCCTGCAGTACTGATTGTGCAATATAAAGAAAGGCTGGGAGTACAGGATTTATTTTAGATTTGGTTTGCTCTCCTGCTTCTTATTACCAACTAAGAAGAAGGATAATATGTTTTAAAATTTCCAAAGAAGCTATTTGTAAGAGGGAAAAGGAGAAAGAATGACAGCCAGGTTGGTAAGTTGCTGGCAGGGGCATCAGGTAAGCCAAGGCTGGAGGAGATTTTGGGCTTATTAGTGGAGGACTGCTCCTCCTCTCTGCTCCCTTCCTCTCCAATTTCCCCTCCTCAAAATGGAAGAGATGCACAAGAACACAGCAGCTTCTTTTCTTTCAGAAGTTTCTTGAAAATGAAGTTGTTTTATCCTTAGGCTCACATCTATATTTTAAACAACGTACCCTCTGGATATCTGCATGGAATTTGTAACCACACAGAATCAGCCCACTGACTTCTGGAGAACTCAGCAGCAGGGGGAAATGACACAAGACTTCTAATAGATAGGGCTATGAGAAGGTATTTTGAGCATTTTCTAGGTCTGTGTGATAAACAAATTGTCCTAGAAAAGAAACATCTGGAATGTGTCTCTATGCAGGCAGGTCATTCAAACACTTCTTTCAAAGCCTACTTTTGATGCCCGTTTGCATAGCAGCAACAGCTTCGAAGGCAAAACACATTTTCAGGGGAAAACAATGGTTCTGTGGGAGCCCCTTTTTGTGCCGAACATAATTTATCCCTTGTTTGTAATTTCCAAGGACAATGTATAATTTCAGCTGGAGTAGCTCCACACTATTTACACATGACTCTTGGCAGTGGTCATAAATTCTGTTTCCTCAGAACTGCCTGGTCTGGTGGCACGGCGTTTGTCTTTGCTGACACATCTGTCAGCCAGAAGCTATTTACTAGCTGGGATCTCGTCTGAGAGGGAGGGACAGCAGGGACAACAGATAAACTTCTTTGTCTATTTAAAGGAGCCCTATTCCTCCATATGGTGAAAAAAAAAATACACAAATCCTTTCGTTTGGTTAAGGATAGATGATATGGCTCTTTGGGGGACATTCAAATGGTCACCAGCCATGGAGAAAAAAAAAAATATATATATATCTTTTATTTTCCACATTATTTTGAGGCTGCTGATATGTCTCAAAGGATTTGATTTGTACACCTGATTTATTGCTGTGTGAATGCTGGGGCCAGTATATGTGACTGAAAAAAAAAGATGTTTTAGTCCTGTCTATTTTCAGTGTGTTTATTTGAACAACTCCCTAAGGACGAATTAAGAACTGATTTGTGGTTACCGTACCATTTCCTGTCCCTAACCCCTTGGTTCCTGTTTTTATTACAGACTCAGCATTTCTCATCCAGGTTGTATTTGACCTTGAAGAAAATGCTGCTGGAGAACGTGGCTGTGCCCTCCACGATTTCTCATATGAATTTCTTAAATTTCTCATGCTAATGTGATGAGTTTCCTGAGGAGAATTTATTTCTCCCTGTGCTCTTTTGTATTTGGGCATATTTCCTGACTAATAAACTGATAATCAGCACTTTCAGCTACATATATAAGGCATCTTAGAGAATCTGTTAGTTCTGAAAGAAATATATATATATTTAAAGTACCATATCTCAATTTTCCTAAGCATCCATTCCTCACTTGGGCAAAAAATATGTAATGTGACTAAAACAAACAAAAAAGTTGTAAGCCACTATATAAGAACATTTTCTTTTTTAAAAATTGCCTTTATTTATTTATTTATTTATTTATTTATTTATTTAGAGAGAAATTGATGTGAAAAAGAAACATCAATCAGCTGCCTCCTGCCCCTTGCCAAGGATTGAGCCCAGCCCAAAACCCGGGCATATGCCCTGACCAGGAATTGAACTGGTGACCTCTCGGTGTGTGGGATGACCCTCAACCAACTGAGCCACATCAGCCAGGGAAAGAACATTTGCTTTTAAATGGAGGATTTCTAAACTAATATCAGGAGGGAGAGATGTAATAACAGAAAAAAATAAATTTACCGGGATTGCTGCTGCAGTTCCCAAAATGCACAGGAAAAAAAGCACAGTCTTCATGCTTCCAAGACCTGTGAACCAAGAAGATAATTAGTAGTAGTGGGTAAAGTTTCCTTACGTATGAATGGCTAAAAGATAATCTTAGCAAATATTGAGCGTGATACCGTCCTTTGTATTTACAGGTGATTGCTGTCTTTGTGGACTAACGTGTCTGCAAAGACAGATTAATGACAGTTTTGACCCAACGGTGTCCCTGTGAGGACTCCTTGATTTTTTGGCCCAGCTGTATTGGTGGAAACTGTCTGTGCTTATGACTGTGTGTCCTTGAATGAAAGCTCTACGCAAATCTCGGGTCTTAAGACTTGCGAGTATTCAACGTGCAGTTAGCAGTCACAAAGTGAAGAAATAGGGTGTGAAAAAAAGTCTCTTTGGTGGTAAAGAAACCCACACATTCAGGGAAGAGTTTTAGGCATGAGACATCGTACTGCACTGAAGGGGCCACCAACGTTCCCCTAATTTAGAGCTTTCACATTGGCAATCTGTGCGTTGGTGGTGGCCTGCAAATGGGTTTGGTTTGGTAGGCACTGTGCATTTTAAATTAACATTGAAAACTCTGGAGGTTTCATGTAAAAGATCCACATATGCAGTTTCTCTTGAACTATTGGCCCTCTCGGCAACAGCAGGCTCTCATGGCGACAGTTGGCTAGGTCTGAGTAGACTGTCCTGTGTAAGGGACGCTGACATTTGTATCTGGTTTGTTTCACTTTTGTTACTTGCTTGCATTTTTTGAGTTCAGTTAGTTCCAAACTAACTTTTTCAGTTTAGAGATGAGACAAGTGAAACAAACAGGCTAAGTAAATTGGCCTCTAGGTGAACTCTCTTAAAAGGAGTGGGCAGTTTACAATTTCTTACACAGTATCCTTAAGCCTGGTAATCTGAACGCTGAGATTCACGATACAGTTTTTAATCGCTAATAGAGATTTTCTATCTCTGAAACTCCCAGAAATAGTAGATAACTCTTTTAAATTACTTCTTGCAATCATAGTTTTATACCTACATGTATTACAGAGCTTTAAATGACATTAAATAAACCTTTAATGAGGTTTAAAAAGAAAGTGAGTAGTTTGATAGTTACCTCAATATTTTAAGCTAACATGCTTAAATGGATATTTAAAAGAAGGTCTGGGGGCTGGGAGTGCGGTGGAGGGGATCAATGGGGGAAAACAGAGGGACATCTGTAATACTTTCAACAATAAAGATAAGTTAAAAAATATATATGCGTATGTTTTGTCCCATTTAATCAACAGAGATTTTTGTTTCTTCATCTGATTTATATTTTTCTTATTATTCTTATTTATTTATTTTTTTTGGAAGCATAGGAATTACTACAGGTATTTGATTTTAACTTCATTAGCAAATAATGTTTAAAAAATGTATTTTTATTGCCCTACCTGGTTGGCTCAGTGGATAGAGTGTCAACCCACAGACTGAAGGGTCCTGGGTTTGATTCCGGTCAAGGGCACATATCTTGGTTGCAGGCTTGATCCCTGGCCCTGGTCAGGGCATGTGCAGGAGGCAACCAATTGATGTGTCTTTCCCACATCGATGTTTCTCTCTCTCTGTTTCCCTTCCTCCCTTCCGCTCTCTCTGAAAAATCAATGAAAAAATATCCTCAGATGCGGATTAACAACAACAAGAATATGTATTTTTTATTGATTTTTAGAGAGGAAGGGAGAGGAAGAGATAGAAACATCAATGATGAGAGAGAATCATTGATCGACTGCCTCTTGCATGCCCCCGACTGGGGATTGAGCCTGCAACCCAGGCATGTGCCCTGACCAGGAATTGAACCGTGACCTTCTGGTTCATAAGTTGATGCTCAACCATTGAGCCACACAAGCCGGGCAGCAAATAAAGTTCTTATTGAAGAAAAGGAGGTTATAGGTGTGAGCACAGAAACACGCCAGAAACAAATTAGAAGTCATTCTCACCTATCCCACTATTTGAACATCCCGAGGTAGACCTGGATTAGGGAACAGTGCTTTGAAAGGATGGAGAGAAAAGCTGCACATAGAAGGTAATTTGGGATGGAGTATGGAGGAAAAACTCAAATCGTGTATAACCTTAAATAATAATCCATTCTAGTTTTAATAAAAATAACAAGTACTCTGCTTGGAGAGTTTAATTCCCCTAAAGGCCGCCTCTGAAAATGACTATTCATTACTTAAGTAGAAATTCAGAGTACTAACAGTGAAATGTGTGTTACATCATTTATACCTTTAAATAAACATTATGTAGAACTAGTAATGGTGTATAACAGATACCAGATTATATTTTCAAAGTGCCTTGGGTTTATCAGATTTATAACTGGGATATTATCTTAGTTGATTATTTTAACAACTTCATTGATATGGTAGATGAACAGGTCTAGAAAGGTTATGATAGGTCACACTCAGGGTCAAAGAGCTGTTAAGAAGAGGAATTGGATTGGAACCCAGCTTTCCTGGCTCCTGTTCTGGTACTCTCCCAGCTCACTTGTAAATAAAGATCACCATTTACCTCTTACAGAAAGATGTTGGGAAGGAGAAAAACAACAAATAAATAACCCAAACCAGTATTGGAAGAAATTCAGAGTTCACTTTGAATTAAGGAGTTCCAAGCATTTTAAAGTTTAAGGTTTTTGCTTATGTGGCAAATAAATATTTTTCTGCATTGGGGGTAATAAAAGGCTGATCATAGAAGATTGGCTGGTTTATTTGATAGCAAAAGTCCCTTTCAATAATGCTTTTTAGTCCAAACAAGGTCTTTGCATAGAAATTAAAGTTCCCTTGAATGAAGAACCTGTCTAAATAAAAGCTTGTAGCATGTTAGAAATGGTCTTTGGGAAAGTTATGTATGTGGATAGACCAGTGAAAGACTTAATAGGAGGAAATAGCAATATTAAGGTGAGAGGTGGTCAGAGCATTGAATTTTGGCTGTGGCCTTGGAAATGGAGAAGTGAAAAATAGATTCAGTTTGTACTGGCCCCTGAGAGTCAATTTTAAATTTTCAGAAATTTAGTTGACTATTAAATAAAGCCATTATTAAAAATTAAATTATACACACATATACTTAAATTAATAATATCAAACAAAGGAAATAAATACTCAAAACTCATCACTTCACACGTATTATGCTACATTTTACTGTTACTTACTCTCTTATGGTTATTTATACCTGTTGTATCTGTATGTGGAAATACTATATAATGTGCTACTGCGCATCTGTTCCCAATTTTGTTCAGTGTTGTCATGCTAGTAGTTTGAAATTAGCCATAGTGGGAGGATTATACCGTGGAAATCATCAAGTGCTGCTCAATTTCTCTCCTTCCTTCCCCAAAGCTGATTGCTAAACATTCATCAGCATATTAAGTTGTACACTTGAAACCTGTATGGTTTTGTTAACTAAGGTCACCCAAATAATCTCAATTAAAAATATTTACCAGCATATCAATGGAAAATATTTAAAAGCAGAACAGATGAGATTTAAAAACCACTTGGATATTGTTGGAAGAAGAGAAGGAAGAGCCTTAGGCTATCACATTTCTAATTTGGGCAAATGGGTAAATGGTAGTATTAATCACTAAGATAAGGAATTAATAAGAGGAGGATTGGGTTTTAGGAGAAAGGTGATGAATTTATTTTGGACTTGTTGAATTTGAGCAGAGCTATACTTGAATAAGTGCGTCTGCAGGTAGGCATCGAGCGGGGGTTAAAGATATACCTTGGGTGCTGTGGGCATGAGAAGCTATATAATGAGTAGAGCAGAGGGCCGAGGCCAGAAGCCTGGTGAGTGAAGACCATTAGGTCCATTAGAGGATGGGAGGGGCTAACGATACAAAGGATGAGAGACAGGAGTTTCACATAAGAAAAAGAGTGTTAAATGTCCCAGAGAGGCCAAAGTAAACAAGGCCAGGAAATTACCCCCTGCCTTGGGAATTACAGAGGTACTGGAGAGTTGTGGGAGAGGAGTTGTGGGGCAGTAGTGTTGGTAGAGCCAATCTGTAGTGACTGAGGAGTAGGTAGACAGTGATGAAGTAAAGACAGCGGGTGTGACGATGGCTGTCTATGAAAGAAAGGAGAGTAAGGGGAAAGTGTGATCACAGGCAAATTTTATTTGTATTAAAATGTAGTCATCCAAGTGCTTTTTATGCTTACAGGAAAGCAAAAGAAACCCAAATGAGCCCAGCTGGCATGGCTCAGTGGCTGAACATTGACCTATGAACCAGGAGGTCAGGGTTCGATACCCATCAGGGCACATGCCCGGGTTGTGGGCTCCATCCCCAGTGTGGGGTGTGCAGGAGGCAGCCATTCAGTAATTCTCTCTCATCATTGATGTTTCTATCTCTCTCTCTCTCTCTCCCTCTTCCTTCCTCCCTGAAATCAATAAAAATATATTAAAAACAAGAAAAAAAGAAGCCTACATGAAAAGATAGAGGAGAAGAGAGGAAATGTGGTAAGCAATGATTGCCCCAGTGACCCACAACTCCTGGGCGGTATGCCCTGGACTTTGGCCTTGGCCTTGTGACTTGCTTTGGCCAATGGGACATTAGCAAGCACCTTGCCAGCAGAGGCTTGGCAAGCACTTGCACACTAGAATTTGTCCTCCTGTGAAAGCCATCCGCCATGCTATGAAAAAGTTTGGACTACTGACTAGCTCAATCGTTTAACGATAAGCAACCATGCAGAGAGAACCTTGGAGGATGAGAGACCATTTGGGATGGCTCAGCCGCAGCTGAGGTCCCAGCTTGCTGGAGCCACGTGAGTAATTCCAGACAAAATCAACAGAAGAACCACCCAGCTGAGTCCAGTACAGACTACAGAATCATGTGTAAATAAGGGAGCTGGTTTTAAGCCATTTAGCTTGGGAGTGGATGGTTATGCAGGAATAGATATCTGAAATAGGGGAAAACAGCGAAGTTGCCTGAATCATTGTGTAGCTAATATTGCACAGCAATTCATGACAGGACTTCCTAGACGTTAATACTGAATTTGCATAATCCTGAGTAAATTATTTAGTTTTTTTTAAGCCTCAGTTCTTTACCTGTACAGTGATGGTGAGGATAGAGTGAGGTGATAGAATCTCAGTAAGCCCTTGATAAATATTTGCTGGTCTAATGTTAAAGCACAGGCGGGAGGTTTAACTCTGAAGAGAAGGAGGGATTCTTACTTTCTTTTCTTTTCTTCTTCTTCTTTTTTTTTTTTTCCAGAATACACAGAGAAAAGCTTAACTGTAAGGATGTGTTGAGACAAGGCCCCAGGGATATCAATTCATTCAGTCAGACGTGGCTACTCCTGCCTTATATTTATATAGCATTTTATAGTTTATAAAATATTTTCTTATATGCTGTCTCATTTGATCCAATAAGAAAAGGAGAGTAGATAACATTTAACTATAAGAAACAGAAGTTTGGGAGAACCAAGATGGCGGCATAGGTTAACGCCGGAGTTTGCTGCTTTGAACAACTACTTCAAAAGTGAAACTAAAAGACGGAAGGGACATCACCCAGAACCACAGGAACGCTGGCTGAGTGGAAGTCCTACAACTAGGAGGAAAGAGAAACGCATACGGACACTCAGAGGAGGCGCAGTGCTGAAGTCAAATTCTGAGGTGCGGAGTGCGCGAGCGGGCTGGCGGCAGAGGGCGCGGTTGGCGTTTTCAATCGGGAGGGAGTCGCAGACTCTGAGCTCCAGGTACAGGCGAGTCTTTAGGGACCCAGACTCAAACGGGAGAAGCGGGACTGTCTGGCTTCGGTCAGAGCGAGTGCAGCTTTCTCTCCGAGGTTTGCAGCGGGTGCTGGGACTCAGAGAGGCAGAGCCCCTGGGGACAGGACTGAGAGCCGCCATAACTGCTCTCTCCGGCCCACCCTGTTGATCCTGTTCGACCCGCCCTGCCCAAGCCCTGCACAGAGGCATTTGCCGGATAGCCTCAGGCAAACGCTAGGTTAGCACCTCCCTAGAGGACAGAAGTTCTCTCACTGCTGACACAGCTGATTCTCATAGCCACCTGGCCTGGAGGTCAAACCCTCCCTGGTATTAGCTACAACAATCAAGGTTTAATTATAAGACTGTGCACAAAGACCACTAGGGGGTGCACCAAGGAAGCATAACAAAATGCGGAGACAAAGAAACAGGACAAAATTGTCAATGGAAGATATAGAGTTCAGAACCACACTTTTAAGGTCTCTCAAGAACTGTTTAGAAGCCGCCGATAAACTTAATGAGATCTACAAGAAAACTAATGAGACCCTCGATGTTATATTGGGGAACCAACTAGAAATTAAGCATACACGGACTGAAATAACGAATATTATACAGACTCCCGACAGCAGACCAGAGGAGCGCAAGAATCAAGTCAATGATTTGAAATGCGAGGAAGCAAAAAACACCCAACCGGAAAAGCAAAATGAAAAAAGAATCCAAAAATGCGAGGATAGTGTAAGGAGCCTCTGGGACAGCTTCAAGCGTACCAACATCAGAATTATAGGGGTGCCAGAAGATGAGAGAGCAAGATATTGAAAACCTATTTGAAGAAATAATGACAGAAAACTTCCCCCACCTGGTGAAAGAAATGGACTTACAGGTCCAAGAAGCGCGGAGAACCCCAAACGAAAGGAATCCAAAGAGGACCACACCAAGACACATCATAATTAAAATGCCAAGAGCAAAAGATAAAGAGAGAATCTTAAAAACAGCAAGAGAAAGAAACTCAGTTACCTACAAGGGAATACCCATACGACTGTCAGCTGATTTCTCAACAGAAACTTTGCAGGCCAGAAGGGAGTGGCAAGAAATATTCAAAGTGATGAATACCAAGAACCTACAACCAAGATTACTTTATCCAGCAAAGCTATCATTCAGAATTGAAGGTCAGATAAAGAGCTTCACAGATAAGGAAAAGCTAAAGGAGTTCATCACCACCAAACCAGGATTATATGAAATGCTGAAAGGTATCCTTTAAGAAGAGGAAGAGGAAGAAAAAGGTAAAGATACAAATTATGAACAACAAACATGCATCTATCAACAAGTGAATCTAAGAATCAAGTGAATAAATAATCTGATGAACAGAATGAACTGTTGATTATAATAGAATCAGGGACATAGAAAGGGAATGGACTGACTATTCTTGGGGGGGAAAGGGGTGTGGGAGATGCGGGAAGAGACTGGACAAAAATCGTGCACCTATGGTTGAGGACAGTGGGTGGGGAGTGAGGGCGGAGGGTGGGGTGGGAACTGGGAGGAGGGGAGTTATGGGGGGGAAAAAGAGGAACAAATGTAATAATCTGAACAATAAAGATTTAATTAAAAAAAATTAAAAAAAAAAAAAGAAACAGAAGTTTGGAGAAGGTAAATTTTTACTTGGCTCAATGTGCAAGGGTACGAGGTGAGCAAGAACTAGAAACCACACGTTGGACTCAGAACCCAGGGTTCTCACATGGTTCAGCAGAACAAGCTGCAGACTAGAAATCAGAGGCTTTGACTTTGGGCCCTGGCTTTACTAAGTACTACTTTGAGCAATTACTTAATGTCTCCAAACCTCATCTATAGAAAAGAAATGACAATTCCTTCCAGTGTCTAAGGGAGCCACTGAGGTGGGGGAGCTCTTTGTAAACTCTGAAGTAACACAAACATATAAGTGATGATTATTCCATTGCTCTGCCTGGTGCCTCTCATTAGTATTATCACTATTGTCATCTATGCTGTGTATTAAGTGATAAGGGAAATGAACCTTTAGTGTTCCCTTACTTTTTCTCCTGTCTCCTTTCATGTCTTCTTCCCTTTGCAGGATTTCAAGCTGCCCAGGCCTCCTAGGTACATAATATTTTCACATTTAATTCACTCATTAAACAAACTCACTTGTCTTATATTTTATACATTTAAATTCCATTTTAAAAAATATATTTTATTGACTTTTTACAGAGAGGAAGGGAGAGGGATAGAGAATTAGAAACATTGATGAGAGAGAAACATCAATCAGCTGCCTCCTGCACACTCCCCACTGGGGACGTGCCCGCAACCAAGGTACATGCCCTTGACCGGAATCAAACCTGGGGCCCTTGAGTCCGCAGGCTGATGCTCTATCCACTGAGCCAAACCGGTTAGGGCTAAATTCCATTTTTTAAATATGCATCTCATCTATACTTAGAATATAAGAATGTTCCTGAATTAATGTCTTTCTAGTCTCAGGTAAGAGGTATTTTCACCGTGGCTTTAGCCCAAAGGAGCTACTAGATAGAATGCTGAGAATCTTGGCATAGCTGTGGGAGAGACATATTAATACAAAAAGTATTGGGTTTGTCCCATGACCTTCAGTGGCCAGCTGTGCAGAGTTTTTTGAGAGTCAACCTCAACATTTCCTGCATGGTCCCTGATCATTTACTGTGTCCCAGGATGGAACTATTTTCAGGGGTCTCATGTTTATTTATATTTCCCTCTGGTGATTGAAAACAAGACTTACAGACAGAATATGGTTGTCACTTAGAATGATCCAAGTGGGAAACTACCTCAAGGTGTCAATTATAAAGCAGATGCCTGCGTTGTATTTTTGAAGATAAGACCTTGTGGAGCAACCCAATACCTAGAATGGAGAAGGCCTTGAGTTTCACATTGTCCTTCAAACCAGTCACTGGGCATTTCTGTCTCATGAGCTAATTGTATTTGCCACACACACTGATATAATTAATTTCCCGGCCTTTAGCTTCTTATTTTAAGAATTGAACAAATGTGCTGGGAAACAAGAGATATTTTGAAAACAACTGTCATACTGAAGTCTACAAGGAGGCTTAATTAGCTGATGCTTGCAAAGTACTCTGAAAATGAAATCCATGACGTTCTTGCTAAGTATGATGAATATAGTTTATTCTTGGATTAGTAAAAAGTCATATACAGCATGGCCCCCAAAATATATTTACACTTTAACATCTGATAGCTCAATTTTGAAAAAGAAATGTATTTTAATAAACACTGCATTTATATATTTCAAGACATTCAAATTTGGTGAGCACTTTCTACAAAAGCAGATTGTTATTTCTGCAGAAAGAGCAAATAAAATTCTAGGAGAAAAATGCAAAAATTAGACACATTTTATTTATTTATTTATTTATTTATTTTTGGTTAATCCTCACCTGAGGATATTTTTCCATTTATCTTTTAGAGAGAGTGGAAGAGAGGGAAAGACAGAGAGAAGCATCAATGTGAGAGGAACACATCAACTGGATGCCTCCTGCACACGCCCTAGCCAGGGCCCAGGCCGGAGAGGAGCCTGCGACCACAGTACATGCCCTTGATCAGAACTGAACCGATGACCCTTCAGTTTGTAGGCTGATGCTCTATCCACTGAGCAAAACCGGCCAGGGCAAAAATTAGATACATTTTAAAATGCAGGGTTATTATTCTTAAAGGTTTAAACACACAGTGTTTATGTGAAATTAGATAAATATTATTTTGCCCAAATGTATGAGCTTATTCAAAGGCAGCGGCATAGCTGAAAGAACATTTGGTATAGAACTGGAAGATCTAAGTTCCAGACCTGAGCTACCTTAAGCCAGCCAAGAGACTTTGGGCAAGTGACTGGTTTCTTTATCCACACAACAGGAAAATGATAGTACATTTTCTATTTATTTAGGGTTGTTTTGAGATCCAAATGTGATCATAGAGTCATTTGGTAATTTTACCAACTGTAAAAATGAATTGAAAGATATCATTTATTTGAGACACTCCTATGGCAAAAAATGGCATAATAACCCAAATAATTACTACTTTGCAGAGACTTGAATTGATTTCTTTATTTGGTAATTTAGTTATTTCTTTCTTTCCTCTGCACTACTTTTTCTTTTCATGGGTAGAGAGAGGTTAAAGGTGAGAGACGGGGGGGAGCTCTGAGGAGAGCCTTTTCCTTCTGTTAGGAGCAGAGTGCCAAACATCAAACTTTCAGAGAATCTCACCTGGAGTTCTGAAAGATGACAGCTAAACCGCCTTTCTTCAGTATGGCCTTCCTGGGGGAAGCCAGGATTTGGAATTTCAAATGCCGGGAGTTCTTCAATTGGCTGGAAACATATACCACCCAAACAAATGTCCAGATGGAACATTCGGCATGGCTGAAATAGTTTTCCCATTAAGAACCAAACGTCACGACCATCAACTCTATCCAAGTCATGTGGGTAGCTGTCTGGAGACACTTTCGAACATTTCCCCTTAAACAGGTATAAACTCTCTGGTACAGCAAAGATGGCTTTAAGTTCTTCACTGCTCTTGCGTGGAGGTGGAGTTGAATTTCCCTTCCCTTGAATCTGGACGGGTCTTAGTGACTTAGTCTGTCAAATTGTTGCGACAGAAGTGATTTCAAAGGTTGGTTCGTAAGAAGCCTTGAAGTTTTGACCTGGATCACTCGGAACCCTCATTTTGGGAGCCATAGGCCACTTTGTAAGAGACTGGAATGCCACAGAAGACACTGTTCAACAGTCCCACAGATCCCAGCTTTCCATCTGTCCTCACAAAGACACAGGACATGTGAGTGGAGCCACTTCAACTCTCTAGAGCAGCTCAGCACCTCTGGGTGACCTGCCCAAACTCCTGACCCACGAAATCCCGAGACATTATGAAACGGTTGCTGTTTTTAGTCACTAAGTTTGTAAGCAGCAATAAAGAATTGGAATAAGCATTAACTATCTTCAGTGAAATAGTACTTAAGTATATTCTTTAGTAGTAGAATCACTTATGTTCATCAAAGTCTTATTTGATTGAAAAAGTAGGTTTTTATCATTGACTGTTTAATATGGTAGCTAATGCGATGGCTTAGACTAGAGTGTTTGAGATTTTAGTATATGCCAGGTACAATGCTAAGCACTTCACCTGTGTACATACATGTATTCCCACCTGTCACCTGATCTCCACATCACGTCCATCCCGTGAGAGCTTCTTGAACATCCCTCTGTGCCACGGTGCCCAGTCATGAGTGACAGGATGTGAGAATTTCAAATGGGTGGCTTTCCAGGGACATTCTCAAACATCTCTTTCTCTAGCTCAGGAGAAGTTCTACATTCTCCTCTTTTATAACGTGTAATTGAAGGATTACTTTAATTATATTTAGAGGATCCCCATGACTTATCTTTGGCTAGATTGTGCAATAGCTGTGTTTCCACACTTCTTCATCATGCCTTTCCGAATTCCTCATCTTATTGTACTGCTCACCACTACTGACCTCGCTGGGTCCCATTTCACAACTCCGTATGGAATGTGTTCATGGAGGCATACTCTGATCTCTCCCTCAGGCATTTGCTAACCCTTCAGAAAGTCTCCATCACACCCTGCCCTGTGGTGTAGACGAAGAAATTATTTTGGTTATATTTATTTTTCTTTGCTCAAATTGTATTATGGTATCTGCCCTCTCATTTCCTCTTTATCTGTGAAGGCAGGATTTTCTCCCCCTCTCCTTTGTGTGTATTCTTTGGGGAACAGGCATTTGAGTATGGCCAGACATGGATGTACGACGAAACTAAAAAAGGTCTCACTTGGTACAAGCTCCTTACAAAGCCCTCTACTTGATTGATTTTTTCCTATTTTTTTTTTTTTTAAAAAAGAGAACCCCACACATTGTGTAAACATCCTGTTCATAAATTCTGAGTCCACTCCTGAGTAATGCTAACCTGAAGGCCTGTAGCATTTGCTGCAGGACTTAATAATATCTGAGTGATTTTCTGCATAGTATTAATAGCATGACAACTCACCGTTGGAAGCCTACCTTATCACTGAAATGACCAGAAACATTAATCTTATTCTTTTTCTGCCAGCTCTCCTCTCTACCCCCTAATTTATTTTATTCTCTACCTTCCCGGAATTTCTTTTCCCTGAATGCCAGGTTCTTAGCTTTCTCTTCTGACTGCTCTTATTCGAATGTCCCTTATTTGTTAAACTCTGCCAACATAAAATAAAACCTCTTTGGATTCGGTGGAAATTGTCTCTCTTCTTTTTTAAAAATATATTTTTATTGGTTTCAGAGAGGAAGGGAGAGGGAAAGAGCTAGAAACATCAATGATGAGAGAGAATCATTGATGGGCTGCCTCCTGCATGCCCCCCAGTGGGGATCAAACCCGCAACCCGGGCATATGCCCTTGACTAGAATCAAACCTGGGACCCTTCAGTCTGCAGGCTGACGCTCTATTCACTGAGCCAAACCAGCCAGGGTGTCTCTCTTCTTTTGTTAATAGAGCAAGTTGGTTGTTAAGTTCTGCTAAAGTTGGGAGAGGAATTTCAAGTGCTTTCAGCTCTTTGAATGCACGAAGAATTATTTACTGGGGTAGTTGTCTCCCAGGATTAAGAAAAACAGCAAATCATACCTAAAAACAGTTCCAAGTAGCCTCATTCTCATGGTGTTGGGACCCATGGGGAACAATGGTGGGCTTTGATGAGTAGTTCTTGTGTGAACCACTAATGAACGCACTCAGTCCAGGCAGCAGTCCCTCCAGGATTCAGCACGCGGTGGGCACTTCTCATTTGCATTGGTGAGGGGCAACACATTGCAGAGGAGAAGCAATCGGGTGCCCCAGTGGTGCAATGTTACTCATTACCTGCCTTTTCTGAAAGAAGCAGAAACAATAAACCCTAATGAATTTCACGGCTGGGGATTGAAGAATTCTTTGAAAATAGGTTGGAAAGGCTAAGCTTATTTATGCCTGACAGGGGTAATGCTAGAAAATTCATTAGAGCAAGGAGAGGAGACAGCTGGCCTGCAGCTGGGAATCCTGTCTCTCCCACATGGGGAAGGGAGTTTCTCTTTGAATATCTAGATATTTTTCATTTGTTCCCCCAGATTCACTCCACATCCACTCTCCAGCCTTATCCATCCTGAGCTGTCCCAGGGCCTGTGTGAATTGCATAATCAGGTTCTCATGCCTGAAGGTTTATGTTGGGTCTGGCCAATGGCGAGATATTTGAGGAAAGGAGATTAAATCAGAATATGTATTTCCCCAGCTCCTTCTCTGTGACTGAGTCCCTCTCCTGAAGGTCACAGCCCCTCTCAGTGACCTCCACACAACATTTTCTGTCTGGGTTCAGAAATTGCTCCCATCCCTGGATCCTACAAGCTTAACTCTTACTAGCCTGTTCCTATAGCCCCTTGTAGCTGTTCCATATCCTGCCTACACCTTGGTAAATAATCCTTTAATTACACTCTCCTCCAATCTTTAAATTTTTTTTTGCCCGGATCTATCATTTCCTTGCGGAGACCTGAACCAATACCACTCTTGATTCAAAGTTTAGGATTCAGGGTTTGAATATTTTCAGATCTCCCACCAACAAAGCTGCCTCCTGCTCCTCAGTGCTGCCATGTTTCAAGTCTTTCTATAGTTGCTGTGGGACCTACCTGGAACCCTAGAGATGGTATCAAAATTATTTTAAGACAAAGACATTTGAGATTCAACAGATGCAAAAGGAAGTTTTTTGGAGCTTCCCCTATTGCACTAAAAGTAGAAACTTCTGAGAATTGAGAACTGCCATAAATTTCCTTTGGAGTGGCATCTACTCCCAGGCACAAGAACACATGAGAAAACCTACTATGAATCCCTTTACAGGGGAAGTTTATGACTCACAACAAGACAGAAGGACCATCTATACATCTATGGAAAAACGTCACAAACTCTCTTATCTCCCATTGGGTCTAAACATCCATTTGTATTTCCTAAAGAAATATTCTTGTTCTTTCCACAGAAGCCGTTTCTCCTCCTTTTCTTCCCCTACTAAGTTAGATATATAAGCATCCAACTTTAACAGTTTAGGGAATTAGTGCTTTTGTTGGCTCCTATGGGCATATGAATAAGTCATTTTCTTCTGTTGACCTGTCTCTTGTCAGTTTAATTTGCAGGGCTCAATTACTGAGCATAAGAGGGTAGCGGAGAACATTTTTTCTTACCGACATTGCCTTAGTGGGTGCACATTTTTCTTTTTAAAAGGAGCATAACTGGCCTCATCTTGGGGAAAATCAAAAGCTATAAGGCATTAAAATGTGATCAGCACTCAGTGAAGATGCTTTCACTGATATAATCACAAGGTTTGAAGGTGCTTGGAATTAAAGAGATTTAGAAGGAGATATGGGCAACCAGCTCTGAGAGCATTTTGTGTTGGAAGAAGGCATGCTTCACTCTATGGTACTCCCATTTCTCCTTTCATGCAGTCCTCTGCAGTGTGAGGAAATGACTCAGCACAGAACGGTATGACACTGGATTAATCTGGAACCTTGGGAAGTAAATTAGTCTCTCTGTTCTTTTCTCTTCCCACCCCAGGGGGAACTCAATTCATTAGTGCAATTTGACTGAATATTTTAAACATTGTTCTAAAAGTACCTGGTTTGGGTGGTTAGTCTTAGAACATGTAGAAATCTGTCTAATCAAAAGTAGTCAACTAGCCAAATTGAAACAAAGCTGTATTTTGGGTAAATAATACTATGCAAGGCAATCTGTTGTTAATTCTTTTTGGACAATGACTAATTTTGTTTTCATGGCACTAAAATGTGCACACCACATTTAAAAACTAGGCTATGAATCCCTAGAGATATTAGCCCTCTTATCAAGATGCTGGGAAGCTTAAGGGGAGTCAGCCACCTCCAGCCATAACCACAACCTCAGACCTTACTGTGGCTGTCATCCACACACATGGGATTTGAGAAAAAGGAAACAACAAAGAACCAAACATAAGGTAAGCATGGGCTAGAAATTGTTTTCAGATCACAAGAAGACATTAATTAGATGTTTTTATCAGTGAGCTGCTGCTGGTACTCCACCCTCTACTTCTCCCTTGCATTTCTAAGAAACTACTAAATGCAAGATCACTAGGTGTACCAAGCTTTAATCCCAAACCTTCCCCAATTGAAACAAATCTTCTAGTATTCCTCTACCTATATTTTAAGAAATTACTGAAGGGGGATTCCAAAATGGCAGTAGAGTAAGTGGAAGCTACTCTGACACATTCCTAGGCCCAAACTGGAATTACAACTAAAATACAGAGAAAGCATCCTGAATAATCAATTGAAGACTAGCTGGAAAGAACCCTGATAACCAAGGAGGGAAAGTGGAGACCACATAGAAACTGGTAGGAAGGGCAGAGGCACGAAAGGGCTGGCTGGACTCCCACAGACAGCAGCTCAAGTTCTGTAGGGATATCTCAGCTGTGGGGGGTTCCCACTGAGAGCTCTGGGGTCTAAACCCCAAGCTGGGTTCCCAGTCCAGAGCACCAGAACTGAGAAAGGTGCCCACAGAACATCTGGCTGTGAAAAGCAGCAGAGTTGCTGTCTGCCAGAGAGAGATGGATGGAAATGCATGTACCCTCTTAAAGGGCCAAGACAGAAAATTTCATGTGCAGCCACTCACCTTGGGTCCAGTAGAGAGAGGACAGAGTAAACTGGAGCTGTGTGAGCAGAAGCCAGGGTTGCAGGCTCTGGGGTTAGAGCATGGAAGGTGGACACACTGGTTTACTGTGCCAAGTCATTTCCTCATACTGCAGAGGACATCTTTCTGACCTTTACCATCTAGTCAGCTTTTGCCTGGGGGTGAGGATGAAGCAATTGCCCACCTTATTGGAAAAACCCTTGCCCCACTCTGTGGAGTTTCTGAGGCCCATTAAGAGACTGGGAATAACAATCAGCCTGCAGGCAGAAGCAATGACCCTATCCTGTTGGGAAACCTCCCAGTCCATTCTGTTGTTGATAGCCTGAGGCTAATCAGGACTGAATAACAATCAGACTATAGGCAGAGGAAGGTCTCTGGAGGCTTTGACTATTTTCCTGATCTAATCTGGGGCCCAGGGCTAGGACAAGCTGACCTTGGTGTACATCTTGGTCCTTTTCAAAGGCAGCCAGCCCCAGCAGAGGGAGACAAAAGCTGTGGATTGCTGATTGCTCCAAACAGGGTACTCAGGAACAGTGTCGGACATTGGGAATCAGAGCAGATCTATCTAATACATAGACACAAACTCAAACAGGCAGCCAAAATGGGGAGACAAAAAACAATCCCAAAATGAAAGAACAAGAGAATTCTGCATAAGAAAAGCTAAAGGAAATGGAGGTAAGAACTTTAGCAGACATAGAGTTCAGAATAATGATGGCAAGGATGCTCAATAGCATGAGAAAATGTATAGTAACTATGAAGAATGACATAGTACTAATAAAAAACAGTGGAAGGAATACACAGAAGATTAGGGGAAGCTGAGGATTGGATCAATGAATTAAAAGACAGGATAGAAAAAAATCATTCAATCAGAGAACCAAAAAGAAAGTAACAATTAAAACCAGGACAACTTAAGGAAGCTGTGGGACAACATGAAATATAACAATATTTGCATCATAGGAGTACTAGAAGTAGAAGAAAGTGAACAAGGAATAGAGAATGTGTTTGAAGAAATAATGGCAGAAAACTTCCCTAACCTGGGAAAGAAAAAGTCACACAAGTTCAGGAGGCACAGAAAGTTCCAAGCAAGAAGAACTCAAACAGGCACACACCCAGACACATCATAATTAAAATGCCAAAAATTAAAGATAAAGAGAGAATCTGAAAGGCAGCAAGAGAAAGCAGTTTGTTACCTACAAAGGAGCTCCCATAGGCTGTCAGCTGATTTTTCATCAGAAACTCTTCAGGCCAAAAGGGAATGATATAAAGTATTCAAGGTAATGAAAAGCAAGAATTTGAAACCACTATTACTATATCCAGCAAGGCTATCATTCAAAATAGATGGCAAAATAAGAGCTTCCCAAGCAAAAAAGACTAAAATGAGTTTATCACCACCAAACTAGCACTGCAAGAAATGCTAAGGGACTGCTGTAATGAGAAGAAGAAGAAGAAGAAGAAGAAGAAGAAGAAGAAGAAGAAGAAGAAGAAGAAGAAGAAGAAGAAGAGAGATATAGAATTAAAATGGCAATAAATAAGTACCCATCAATAATAACCTTAAATGTAAATGGATTAAATACTCCAATCAAAAGACATAGAGTAGTTGAATGGATATAAAATCATGACCCAAATATCTATGCTGTCTACAAAAGAACCACCTCAGAACAAAAGACTCACACAGGATGAGAGTGAAGGGATGGAAAAAAGTTTTCCATGCAAATGGAAATGGAAAAAAAAAAAAGCTGGGGTAGCAATACTCATATCTGACAAAATAGACTTCAAAACGAAGGCCATCACAAGAGACAGTAAAGGTCACTACATACTACTAAAGGGATCCATCCAACAAGAGGATATAACCCTGGTGAATATATATGTGCCCAATATAGGAGCATCTAAATATATAAAAATACATCTGGAGGACATTAAGGGAGAGATAAACAGCAATACAGTCATAGTAGGGAACTTTAACACCCCACTGACTTCACTGGATAGACAAAAAATTAACAAGGAAACAGTGACTCTAAATGACACACTGGATCAGATGGATTTAATTGACATTTATAGAACATTTCACCCCAAAGCTGCAGAATATACATTCTTCTCAAGCATACATGGGTCATTCACAAAGATAGACCACATATTAGGACACAAAACAAGTCTCTATAAATTCAAGAAGACTGAAATTATATCAAGCATCTTTTTAG